TGACTTTTAAACACATTAGCCTCCTGTAAGCACTCTCAAATTGACTCAGATGTAAAGTGGAATTTCTGAGAGACGGTAAGCCACAGTTGTATCTTTTAAATAAAACGAAGTCTATCAGAGGCAAAGCTTTGAAGATGCTTGAATTTTTTTTATTTTTCAGGGGAAAAAAAATCAGTGAAATAATGCTCTTGCTTTGCAGAGGAAAGAAACACTACCTTTTAAGTGAAAGAATACTAGTGCAGGACCTCAGCTTACAAACATTTACCTCTCCTTGAAAAATAAAAGAAAGATTTGCTATATTATTCAGACACTGATGATGAAAAGGAAAAAAAAGTCTATGCAGCATACAAAATAACATTTCAAAAATATTATTTTTAAACTGGGGTTTATAAAACCATCAAGAAGATCCAGTTTGATGAAACACTGGAATAGGTTGCCCTGAGAGGTGGTAGATGCCCCATCCCTGTAAACATTCAAGGTCAGGCTAGATGGGTCTCTGAGCAACCTGGTCTAGCTGAAGATGTCCCTGCTCACTGCAGGGGGGTTGGACTAGATGACCTTTAATAGGTCCCTTCCAACCCAAACCATTCTACAATCCTATGATCATTTCTACATTGATGGGAACAAAACAAAAATAAAGAACTTAAAAGATCCACCCCACCCCAAATTCCATTGTCTATTTGCAGGGAAATTTATGGTAATGCCTTCCTTTGCTATTTTTGCAGTAAGTCTAAAAGGCTAGCTGATGAAGATTAAGAACATTTAAGATGTTTTCCAGTATGATGATGACGGTTGCGTTAGGATACCTGAAGATACTATAGGATTCTGAAGCAACTTAGGGGACCTAACCAATAATACATAAAAATCAATATTGGACTGGATTAGCATCATGGTACCTGTGACATTTTGCTGCTAAAGGTAAAAAGTGAAAAGCAGTTAACTATCCATAGATAAGGCTTGACAGTTAGTATAGAACCTCATATGACCTAGGTCTATACAGTTATCTTATTTTGCACTCGTTGAAACCACGAGAAAGTAAGTAGATTAAGTGGAGGAAATAGCACTTGTGGACTCAATGGCTTTTGTTCTTTCAGACTTTTATACCATATACTAGCTAAAAAATCCAAGATTTAGCATCCAGGATATTTGATATCTGATAAATCTGATGTCACATTTATTTCAGAAAATATTGTGACATTTCATACCACCATTCTGAAAGAAAAATTGTCCAAGGAAGAAGATAGACATCATAATGTGAGATTGCTCTATCAAATCATTGACTTCCCAGACGTTCCACTACTCCAGCTGCATCATAACCATGCAAATATGGACTGTTTCCTGTCTACATCCTGTTCCAGAAAAGACTTCACTTTTAAAGTATCATGATCTGCAATTACTGTGTATACTGCCAGAATTCCATCTTAAAGTACCTACTCCAAGGCTTGAAAGAAGTACACTTAGCAAAATTTTCCACTTCTGATCGTAAGAACTGCAAGAAGAGACCTTCAGAGAATGGTAGCTCATGAAAACAAGTTCCTGTAACTCAGATGATGACACCTGCTACTTATTCATTGCATTGCAGCTTATGGGCAAACATAGTGGAACAAAAAGTATTTCCTTGCATTTCCCTTCTGGTCTTATGAAAAATGAGTTATGGCTATGTCCTTTTTTTTTGGTACTTACTTAATAATTAAATTCCCTTAAAAATAAACTCCACTGGGTTGTTAGCTGATGTCATGTTCCTAAAATCTATTCTACAGACATTTTCATTAATGACATCTAGTATGATGTCACAGCTTGTTATGATGAGTTCCCTTACACTTTTGTTACATAATCCCCTATCTGCTCAAAAGAACACTGTAGTTATAATCCTTCTAAACAACGCAAGTCTATATTTGGACTTACATCACAAGATTGGGACTGGTCTACTTTCAATACCTGGGACTTAGTTTAACTTTACTACAAAAATCCCTTTCCCCCCCAGACAATTTACACACACTGGAAAAAAGATGTCTTTTGTTAAATTAAAAAAATTCCGTTGTCCCAAACAAAGCAAAAGCTGTACCCTAGAAGGCAGGCTTTGAAGACATTGAGGGAGAAAATTCCCTTCTATTTGTGTTCTCCTGGGCTACGCACAATCTGGTCTTGTCAGGCACAGATGTGTCAATGTGAAAAGGTAAGCAAAGTGGCACAAATGCAAATGCATGAAAGCAAGACAAAAAATTTATAATACTGGTAACCCCTGGATATTTTAGATATAACAACTCCTATTTTAGAAGAAAAATACTACCCCAAAAGAGAGTGACCATCATAGATTTTGAAGAGCTTTTGCATAATGGCTGGAGTTTTGTGCAAGATTAAGGGAAGGGTCCTGTCACTTGAACTTTACTACAGTTACATTACTTTCAATGTTTGCAAGCTTTTTCTCAAGGAAAGCTGTCCTTTTCTGGTTTAAAAGATAAACTACTCCAAGCAACAAAAAATAAGGAAACATAAAAGATTCTGTTCTTCAACACCAGGGTCATCTACATAGGGATTTACACTAGTAATGTGTATATTCTGCTAGGGTATTGTGGTAATACACATTACCTAGATACAGAAAGTTTAGTAAGTATTGCGTTTACTGTAAGTATAAGACAGTGTGTTTTCAGTATTGTAAAAATTTTAAGGTGCACTGAGCACTGAAGTGGGTTAGAACAGCAGGGAGTTTTAGGGTCAGTAACAGAATCTTAATGCCGTAATAACTTTTCCTTAGTAAAGAACTTCCTTTTTTGATGTGTTAACCACCAAATGGAGGAATTGCCATGCTGAAAGGGAAATAATTGACTACATGAAGCTGAATCAATGTTTTTCACTAAAAATTAGAAAAAAGAATGTGACAGTGAACAGGTTGGTTATTATACTGCTTATAAACTTCTCTGTAAGGAGAATTTCTATTTCATTTAGGAGACAATTGAGAAATAAGTACTGCCTGTAATTTATTATTACCAACCAAAACTTACCCATAGGGCATAAGGGTAACTTACTTAAACAACTCTGCAGATAAACAATGTTTAAAAATAAATATATAGCCCAGTTCAAACAGTATTGTTAACTTTCATATAACATGTATGGGGTGATACTGTAAAGCTGAAGAAATAAAATCTTGCAAGTGCTGTGTAAGGGACTGTCTAGTAATATGCCTTCAGGTAGGACTCTGGAAAGGAAAAGAACTGCCAGATAACAGATGTAGTTTGTGGTATAAAGACTGGCATGGAAGATGAGAAGAAAGAGATAAGGAGTCTGCTAAGGAGAAAGTCTGAAACAAGTAGTAGAACTGAGACCTTCCATGGAATATAAACAAAGTGGAATTACTCTGGGTATCCCTGAAAGCGACAGGAAATTTGAAGCTGAAACTAACAAGTGCTAACAGAAAGGCTACAACATGGAAATGGCAGTTGAGGGAGAGGAAAAAACCCCAAAAACCTAACATGAAGGCAGCCTGATATGGCAGCAGTTGAGATGGATGAGGCAAAAGATACAAATACAGAGAAATATTATACTCATGAGGCTTAAGAAAGAAGCTTCTGTAAGTACTGCAAACAGAACCAAAAAGGAATGAAAACATTTTTACACAGAAAAGGAAAGACCAGACCAGCACTGATAACTGCACGGAGGTTGAGCACATGAATGGTGAGTGGGATTGCAAAACAGTGAATGGTAACAGGAAAGGAAGGACATGACAAATTTAGGGGACAATGCACAATTTTTTTCTAAGTTGAACTGGAGATTTCTTGTGAGACAGCTAGTAGTCTGAAAAAAAGGATGCTGTATCTGACTACCTCCAGAAGAGCAGCTGAAACAGAAGTAATGGAAAAAGTTGCTCAGTGAGAATATAATGAAGAAAAATGAGAGAATCATAAACAAAAGTGTAGGAACTATCACTAAAAAAGCAGTGGCTGAAGTACAGAAAATTCGAGAAACACAGGAAAAGTAAAGAAAGGAATGATCTTTTTTTTTTTTTTTTTTATTAAGGAAACAATAGCAGCTTAACTGAATGGATATCTTCTTTGAAAAGATGTATCCAGGCCTGCAGGTAGTAAGACACCTGGACATTTCCAGGGTATTAGTGATATCTGGAAGAGAATGGAAGCTGTTGGTATGCTTTTATCGGATTTGCTTTTTGTTTTAAAGAGCATATAAAAGCCAAATTGATGCAGACCTTGAAGTAATCAGATTAGGAAATCTGAGTTTTTGAACAAGCATGGTACTGAGAGGAAGTTACTCGTTTTGAAGAAAAAAAAAATTTATACTAGCAAAATCTTTTGTTTTGGTCTCCTACTCTGGCAATGAAAGCATCAGAAAATTGATTGGGTCTTCATCTGTGTGGGCTGATTAAAGCATAACCCTATTGTCTGGAACAATATGGAAGGCAGCTAGAGGAAATAAAATCCACAGAAAACAAAACACACTTAGTCAAAAAATATACATACGTATCAAGATATCGATGTCTTATGCAATAATTACAAGGAAATATTAAAACACAGAAAAGAGTCACATGTGAAAACTAGTAAGATTTTCCTTTTAAACACTGTAGCATTATGATAGAAATTGCCTAAGAAACATAGGGGAGCAGTGAGGATGCTGTAGTAAGTCCACACTCAATTGCTTTGATATACTTACAATCCTGATAGCATTTTTATTTAATTTGCTTTGTCAAGCAAGGAACAATTATCCCAAAGATTGTATTAAAATGGATAATTCTTTGCTTTTTTTCAATTTTACTTTGATCAAACCAGACTAAGCTCCTGTTGAGTAACATTCAGAGGGATTTAATACTCAGTATCTGTATGCACAACAATGTTACGCTCCGCTAGCAATTTAGCTTAACTGTGTGCATTTATAATATCAACAAAGTCTTTAGTGAAAGATTATTTTTGAGCTCTTGTTTTGCAGGCCAGGTTGTGTAGGAAGAACAGAACTCTGCAGTACAACATACATAATATTTTATAATTTCTTACCTCCAGCAACTAGCCCAGACTCTCCTAACTGAATTGCTACCCCGAAGCCACCAAGCTTCACCGGGGCTGAATTCTCTTTTGAGGCAAGCAGTACACAGTGCGGCTGAAAAGACAAAAACCCAGACAACTTACTATATTATTTGAGAAATATGATTTGCATTTTAGAACTTATTTTCTGCAAACAGAAGTTAATATTTTCGGGGTTTTTTGGAAATAATTTCAAAATTTCAGACACATTTTTTCTGGCATGGACTCCTCTTTCTTCATTGACTTCCCTTTCAATTGTCCCAGGCCCAGCAAAATCCTTTCATGACTTAACAGAGCTCGCAAGGAACACAAAGTGAAATCATAATAAAATGGAGATAAAAATTAACACCTATAATTTCTTACCTGGTATGACTTTTTCACCTTTCACCCTTAAGCCTTACACTTTTTCAATTCTCCAGCAGAAACATCCTGCCTATGATACACTTTGTCAGATCTTATCCTTCATACAGAGAACATGAAACGCTATTTTGAGCCTTAATCATAGAATTCGCTGTTCACTTTCCAACTGCAGAAAAGGAACATCCCTGTGATGCTTCTAATAAATATTCCACTGAGGCAGGAAATTGTTTAGGTTTCTAAACTGGATTCCAGGCACAGCCACCCATACCTTTGATTTTCCACAGCCTTTCCACTAAGAAGAGTAGGGTATAACGTATAAAAATGGAATAATATTATACAACAATTTGGATGGATGCTGAAGCAACATACAGACAAAAATCTATTAGAACACAATTCAGTATTTAATGCGCATAGTCAAACTATTGTAATTGATATAGAATTACTTCCCGCATTTACTCAAAGCCTTTGCATTCAACCATATTATTTAAAAGGAAGAACATAAAATTTGTATACTGCTTAAATGGCAAAACTAGAAACTCAAAATAGTGTAAAGGAGCTACAACAAGATCAATCTAACTACCTGTAAAGTCATCATCTGTAACCACTCATGTCGTTTTCTTTTAGAAAGTTTCAGTTGTATAAGAACAAACCGCTTCCAGTAAGAATCCATAGCCTGTTTACTAATATAACTGAAATCTGCAGAATCCCATAAAAGCTTGATTCCTAAACAGATGATATATTAAGAAAGTTAACATGGAAGTTCTCCTTTCAAATGCTAAGAAGAATGCTAAGTCAAGAGAATGTTCTTGAGATGATCATTAAATTTAGGCTACCTTTTATCAGGACTTCTACAATCTGTTTTTTAATTTGCAATTTATAAATGTAATTTTCAAGCCCTTACATCCTATTTAAAATAGTATTACTAGTGGTATTATCTCTGAATATCGTATTTAACTTCTGCCTTATTGAAATTGTTACGCTGCACACTGCGGGCACTTTCACATTCTTTTACCACTGTCATTTTGAGTAGAAAAAAATCAACCTAAAATTTCTAACCCCAGGCAAGGAGGAAGGTAGATGGAAGAAAATCTGCTGTGGTGTTGATTTCTCTTTACCCTACATTTAAAAAGTGCTACAATTTCCATGACAGTATTAAAAAGACTGCACCAATGTAATTGTCATCCCAAAAGAAGTTACTGACACTGCTCATCACAAACAAAGCTTCTGAGAAAAAACCCAAAATCTCCATTTCAGAGTGAAACTCAGAGAAAACTTTGTTACAGAACCTCTCCCAGGTTCTCTCCAGTCCAAATTAACAGCAAAATTGATCTTTTCAACAAACTGAGTTGTGCTAGTTAAAAATATCTTTTAAAAAAAACAGAGTTGCAACATCAGTGAAACTTCCCCTTGCTGCTAATTGTACTGTGTCAGCTGATTCTCATGACTTTCATAGAGAAGCTGGTGCTTTAGCTTTCTAATAAGAGGACTTGCACGTCACTCCTCCTGTCTTCACCAGTGGTTTTGAAAATCAGCAGAAGTTCTTAATAGATAAATGGTAAGTGGCTTCTTTTTTATGTTAGCTACGATAAAACAAGTTTCTATTAGTATTTCTCTTAACTGTGAAGGTACTACTGATCTTCAAGCCCTTTCTCAAATACACCTGTGTTTAAGCGTGTCTTCTCACTTACAGATGACAAAACATGATAGCAAAAAGTTATGTTTCTAACGTATCTGCAGTGTAATTGTTTTTTCTTTCATTGATCTAAAACCTGTCACTATGTATGCAAGTCATGATGTCAAGTGTTTTTATAGAAAAGCAATATAAACAAGAAATCACAGTAGTAGAGTTTCTATATGCATTTGAAAGCATCATGTTTTTTAATCAAACTTTAAAAATGAGTTCTTACCCTGACGACATGAAATGGCAAATATGAAAACAGAAGTATTTTTAAAACTGCTAACATACTGTGCAAATGTAATACAATTGTAAGATCAGCCAACATAGGATGTTAAAATATTTTAGACCGTCCCCTCAACAGTTCAAATCTGTATGTACATTGGGTCTTACTAAGAATTTTAGCTAAAGTGCTGTCACTTTCACTGCTGTAGCTATATCACACATTTAAATGCAAATTTGCATTTCTAAGACCTAGCATACAAATAAAAAAACTATTTTAAAGTTATGTATATGTCAGCATCTTGTTGTTTTTTTCTTGTTACTGTTGCTGGACAACTAAGCTCAGAGTACTAAAACAAATTCTGAAATTTTTTGAGATTTGCCTCTTTAAAAAAAAAATCTAAATAAACTTATTTACGGAATCTTCTATCACTGTGACATACAAACCAAGGATAAAAATTTTATCATTACCAATCAATCTTGAATGTCTCTCTACACAGCCCATAGTGATTCTGCTCTCTTAACTACATGCTTTTTTGGTTTTCTTTCTTTGGTCAAAGCCGACTCTTATCTTCCACATTGTACCTTCCTAGTCGACAATAAGCTTAGTGAATTTAAAAAATTCACTAAACTAAAACAAGGAAAACAATGAAAACAAGGAAGATGTGAAAACAATCTGTTACTGTATTAATGTGGTTTCCAGCTAATATTAGTTTCTTTGCATAATATTGATCTGTGAACAGCCAAGAAAAAGCAAAAAAATACTAAGATTTACATTAAGGTATAAATTATTAAAAACATGCTATTGTAATACTACTGATTCACAGTGTTACTTGTAACAGATTACCTAGTCAAATAAATATTCATTGACAATTGCTTTTCTAATTGAAAACTAGCGACTTGCACATGAGAGATCCTGGGTACTTATTTAAAATCAATACTGATGAGTTTAGAATTGTTTTGAAATATTTCTAAGTACTTTGTATCAACACTGAGAATACTTCGCTTAGCTATGCTTACCTGTTTTTGCATCTTAATTAAACTGTGTCAGAAAGACTAATCCTAATATCAGAACTTAAAAAAAATAATTTGTACTTATAGATGACACAAAAAAATTAAATTTCTAAAGTTTGCAGCAAAACATAATAGTTGATTTTTAAAACACTACAAGACAGTAATAAAGATGTAATTACCAAAATTATCTGTGTGACTACTCTGCACCACCTGTTCCTGCTTACTTCACATGAAGAAAAACAGGGAACCGATTACTCTAGACTTATATTGTACCATAATATCCGGCTGAAAGTCCTTTTTCTACTCAATTACAGTGATACTTTGGTGTATTTATTTTTTTTTAGTTATTGCCTTTTATGTTTATATCAAATAAGACTGTAGGCAATAAAGCAAGCAAACACATGAAAATGATCCAAAGGCGATTTAATTCTTAAAATTTCTCTTCGCATCCCTACAGAACGGCTAAAAAGTCCTCACAAATGATGGCTGCAACTTCAGCTGATTTACGGACCATTCTTCCAGACAAGGAAGTCTTCTGGAGTAACCAAACTAACCTAGCCATAAATTCCTCGGAAATTCAAAACAATGCCAATTGTCCCTTAGATGACTACTCACTGTCACTTGCTTTGATAGTTTTTTACTCCATTATTTTTGTCATTGGATTGGTTGGAAATATTATAGCCCTGTTTACTTTCCTGTGCATTAATCAGAAAAGGAACTCTATCCAAGTTTACTTGTTAAACGTAGCTGTTGCAGACCTTCTGCTGATCTTTTGTCTCCCGTTCCGAATAGTCTATCATGTTACCAAAAACACCTGGATGTTTGGACTGATTTTATGCAAGACTGTAGGAACTCTATTTTATATGAACATGTATATTAGTATAGTACTGTTGGGACTAATTAGTCTAGATCGTTATGTAAAAATAAATAAGTCCGTGAAGCGTCCTAAAATGTTAACTACTACACGAAGTATACATATTTGTTGCGTGGTGTGGGCACTTTCAATAACATGTCTTATAATAGTAGTTGTACCATCTCTCTTTAATAACAAGGACAGCAATTCTACTATGTGCTTTCATTACCGAAATAAACACAATGAAATGACAGAAGCAATTTTAAATTATATTATTGTAATCGTTTTTTGGATTGTTTTTTTCCTTTTGATACTTTCGTATGTTAAAATTGCCAAGAACCTTCTGAAAATTTCAAAGAAAAGAGCAAATTTTCCCAATGCAGGAAAATACACCCAGACAGCAAGGAATTCCTTCATTGTACTTGTTATTTTCACCATCTGTTTTGTTCCTTACCATTTGTTCCGGTTTGTCTACATTTCATCACAGTTACAAAATCCATCTTGTTATTGGAAGGAAATCATTCACAAATGCAATGAGGTGATGCTCATATTTTCATCTTTTAACAGCTGCTTAGACCCAGTTATGTATTTCCTAATGTCCAGAAGTGTCCGTAAAACGGTATTCCAACTTATTTGCAGAAGACTTTACGGAGATTCAAGCCTAACTCTAGAAAGCACTTCAGATGTAAAACTTGGACAATATACACAAGAGCGATTATCTACTACCACTCCCTACTCAAGTTCTTTGAAGAAGTCATCTCTGATATGATTGTTAAATGTATGGATACTGGCTTTGCTGTCACTCCAGGACATCAACTTAAGACGTACCAAATGCAATACTGTACGGCTACTAACCCTGCCTCTTTCTGCTTGTTAAAAAACAAGAAGTCTTACTTCTGTTTGTGAAAATGAGAAATTACTTTTCAGAAGTATTTAGCTCTTGTTTATCCAA